TTGGCTATTATAAATAATGCTGCAATAAATATAAGGGTGCAGATATCTTTTTGGTTTATTGTTTTCATATTTGGTTAGGTACCTGTAATGGAATTACTGAATCATATGGTAATTCTATTTTTATTTTTTTGAAGAGCCTCCATACTATTTTCTAGAGTGGTTGTATCACTTTACATTCCCATCAACAATGCACAAGGGTTCCTAAAATGTACCTGTTTTAAATGCAATTCAAAAAGGGGGTGCTTGGGTGACTCAGTTAAGCATCTTCCTGCAGCTCAGGTCATGATCTCCTGGACCAGCAGGAATTCTGCTTCCTCTTCCTCTGCCCACCCCTCCTAAGCCCCACTTGTGTGTGCTTTGTCTTTCTCAAATAACTAATTAATCTTTAATTTAAAATGTACAATAAAATTTAATAAATGGAAACACCCATGTAACCACCGCCATAATTAAGATACAAATCATTTCCATCACCCAGAAAAGTTCCTTTATAGTGATCATGCCTGTCCTACCACCACTGGCCCCAAGTAACTTTCTGGAACTATAGCTTAGTTTTATCTTTCCTCTAATTTTATGTAAGTGGAATCGAACAATAGTCACTCTTTTACTGTGTGGGTTTTCTTTTGTTTTTTTTTTTTTTTTGAGATTCATTTATCTTGTTTCTGAATCTGTCAGTAGTTTATTCTGTTTTTTATTACTTAATAGTATTCCATTGATTGGATATATCACAGTTTATCCATTCACTTCATGATGGATACTTGGGTTGTTTCTAGATTTTGGCTATTATGAACAAAGGTAAGGGTTGAAGTTCATTTTTTTTCCAGCTTGACTTGTTCAAAAGACTGTCTTATACATACTGAATTATTTTTGCCCCTATCTGAAACAGTCTATTTCTGTGTAACAGATTAACACAAAACCCACTGGGCGTAGAACAGTTATAATCATTTATTGTCAATTTTTGTGGATTAGGCATTTGGGCGTGGCTTGACTGGAATGTTCTGGCTCATAGTCTCATGAGACTGCAATCCTCTGAATTAAGGCTTGACTAAAACGGCAAGATATGCTTCTGAAGGTGTTTCGTAAAGTGTGCTAACTCTTGGTAGGAGTCCTTAGTTCCTCTCCATTTGGGCCTCTCTGAAGGGCTGTTGGTTAAGTGTCCTCCTGATATGGTGAGTGGCTTCCCTAAGAGAGACCGATTCCAGAGATTATGGTATAAGCTGCAGTGCCTTTTAAAGGAGGTCACATATGGTCACTTCTGCAATATTCGGTTGTCACTCAACAAATCTTAGTCGGAAACTACACAAGGATTTGAAAACTGAGAGGGAACAAGTTATGAATACCAGGAGATCAGGATCATGAGGGGGATAGCTTGAAGGATGGGTACTATATAGTCCCTTTATAAAAAAAAAATGAACCAAACATAATATATGGTTTTATTTCTGGATTTAATTTGGTGCCACCGATCTCTCTTTATGACAATATAACAATATCTTTATTACTGTAGTTCTATATTGTCTTAAAATCAGATAGTATATAAAACTTTTTTCTTTTTCAAAACTGTTAACTGTACTGTTATTTGCATTTTTTAAAAAAATGCTAAAGTCATCTTGTCAGTTTTTACAAAAAAGGAATCTGTTGATTGGGATTGCATTGAATCTGTAGACCCAGCTTGGAGAGAATTAACATCTTAACAATACTATGGATATATCTTAATATAACATAGCAAGTCTCTGTAGTTACTGTGTCCTTAATTTCTCTGAGCTATGTTTTTTAGTTTCAGTATATAAGCCTTGCACATATTCTGTTAAATTCATCTTTTAAGTATTTTATTTCTTATTGGATACTATTATAAATAGTATTTTTTAGATTACATTTTTCAGTTCTTTGCCAGTATATACAAATATAATAGTTATTATTTTCTATCAACCTTTTATCCTGAAATCTTGCTAAATTCACATTATGAGTCTGGGAGCTTATTTGTGTATTGTACATATGGGATCATGTTATCTGTGAATAAAGACAATTTTACTTCTTCCTTTTGCATAGGCTAGACCCTACTATATACTGGCTTAGAACAAATTTGAGGTGGAATGAACAGACATATGGATGGGAAGAAAAATAAAAACTATATAATACAAATAGATGCAGAAAAAGTATTTAGAAAATCAAACATCCATTCTGGAGAATCCATGTAATTATAAACTCTTAAGAATGTAAAAGGGTATAAAGAAGATGTAAAACCATAAAGTTTGAGTTTAATTAGAGTAATCAATATGCTAACTGCTTAGAATAGGTAGGGAATCATAATCCCCAACACTTGTATAGAAAAAAATCTTGGGATCCCTGGGTGGCGCAGCGGTTTGGCGCCTGCCTTTGGCCCAGGGCGCAATCCTGGAGACCCGGGATCGAATCCCACATCGGGCTCCCAGTGCATGGAGCCTGCTTCTCCCTCTGCCTGTGTCTCTGCCTCTCTCTCTCTCTCTCTCTCTCTGTGACTATCATAAATAAATAAATTTAAAAAAAAGAAAAAATCTATTTTTCATTAACTTCTAAATGAAATTTAGTATTTGTTTCTATTTTGAGTGCAGGCAACAAACTACATAGTGATATCAGCAGCAATTGTGACATATCGCCAATAAATATTACTTTTAACTTTCCTGTGTCTTTTTTTAAAGTTTGTTTCTTGAAGACAACATGGTTAGTCTTGCTTTCTTATCTTGACTTTGTATTGGAACGTTGGAATATTCGATTAGATGATTGTATATCATCATTTAATGTAATGATGTGATTGCCTTTTAATTCTGCTCTCCTGCTATTTGTTTTATCTTTTTCCCATCTTTTCACTGTTCTTTCTTGCTTTTTTGTACTTTTTCTGCTGTTTTATGGGTGAATCAGTTTTTTTTCTAGTGGCTGCTCTAGATTTTATCATTTTAACATATGACAGTTTATCTTCAAATACTTATTATTATATTATTATATTATTATTATACTACTCCAGATACACTGTAAGAACTTTGAACAATATACTCCCAGTCCTCTTACTTTTTGTGTGTTTGTGCTATTATTGTAATACGTTTTTACTTCTACGTATGTTGTAAAACATTGTAATACATTATTAGTTTTGCTTTTTTTTTTTAAGGGTTTATTTATTTATTTGAGAGAGAGCACGAGCAGGAGGAGGGGCAAACAAGTGGACTCTGCTGAGGGGAATCCAATGAGGAGGGGATTCATCCCAGGACCCTGAGATCATGACCTGAGCCCCTGAGCAAAGGCAGGCATTTAACCAACTGAGCCACCCAGGAGCTCCTAGTTTTGCTTTAAGTGGTCAAAAAAAGCCTGTAGATTTACTCTCATTCAGCATTTCTGGCACTTTTTATTCCTCTTGTAATCATCATTCCTTTAGGTAGATCCAGGCTTCCATCTGTTATCGTTTTCTTCCACCTGAAGAACTTCCTTTGCTTTTTTAAAAATGTGTACTGGCGAATTTTTTTCCCCCAGGTTTTCCTTCTTCCTTCCTTTCCTTCTTTTGTTTTCTTTCATTTCCTTTTTCTTTCTTCCTTGCTTCCTTCCTATCTGGAAAAAAAAACAACACCTTTTATTTCACTTTCATTTTGGAAGGATATATTCATTGCATTCTAGGTTGACCATTTTTTTCTTTAAGCATTTTTTTAAGGTTTTATTTATTTATGAGAGAGAAGGAGAGCAGGGGCAGTGGGAGAGGGAGAAGCAGACTGTCCTGAGCGCAGATCCTGATAAAGGACCCTGAGATCATGACTTGAGCTGAAACCAAGAGTCTGGTGCTTAATTGACTGAACCACCCAAGTTCCCTTTAAGCATTTTAAAGATACTCTGTTTTCTTCTGTCTTGCATAGCTTCTCAAGAAGTCTGTGAATCTTCTGGGATTTCAAGTAAATTGCCTGTGTTTCAACAAGGAGAACTTTTCTGACCAGAACTCCAGTATTCTCAGCACTCTGGAATGCTCAGCTTATAGATCTCTATTTATTCTTTGCCTTTACCTCATGGAGTTTCATCCTGCTTCCTCTGTTTAATGTTTGGCCAGAGACGCAAGTGAACCCCTGTGCAGATTTCTGGAATTTTCTATGCATAGCTTCCTCTTCTCTGATACACATTTTGGCATCTGCTTGAGTTCTTCCCCCTTGTACAACTGTCTGAAAAGTGCCTCCAAGCAGAAAGCCATGGCAGATATAGGCCTTCATTTTGTTGCATCTCTCAGAGATCATAGTCCTAAACTGCTTATTCTCAAATGTCTGAAAACATTGTTTTGTGTATTTTATCTGGTATTTTAGCTGTTTACTGTCCATTCATACTTATTCCATCATGACCATTGGAAATTCTTTCCTGCCTTTTTACGTTTTAAGATAATCGTGGAGTTAAAAAATAAAGTTTATATTTCTTTTTTTCTCTTTCTTCAATTTGGTCTTATGGAATATACTGCTAATACTTCTAGAATTTTTACAATTTCACTAATAATAATCCTTTCATAGCCTAATAATTTTCAAGGTAACATTTTACATGGTTTAGCTATAATAGAATAATGAACAAAATAGTATATAATTACTATATGATATTAGCAAATAAAATATATCCATTAAAGCTCATGAGTGAACTTTTTAAAAAAGTATGTTAAGTCATTTAAACAATAGCTTTGTAAAAAATTGGGTTCATGATTGTAGTTCTAAGACAACTACTAGTTTTAATCACCTTATTTTCTGATCACTCTTACAAGTAACATGTACAGGCTCTAATGATGACTGATGCCTAGTCAAAGATGAACTTTAATGAATTAAAAAATGCCTGGCAGTAGTCCTATAAACTTGATTAGAATCTGCATGGTCTTACTGTGTGCCTGTCTTCGCCTTAATAGTCTTAAGGAGGAAAGGAAACAAAAACCAAAATATTGCCTTATCTTATGTAACAGTTATACATTTTTAGATTATTCTTAGATGTTTATTAATCTTTAGGTTTTTGTTTTTTTTCCCCAGATTGTCAGCATTTAAACAGACCACATCATGCGTGAGTACAAGCTAGTGGTCCTTGGTTCAGGAGGCGTGGGGAAGTCCGCTCTGGTAAGTTAGCCACCTAACTCTAACTTAATTAGTATAGTACAAGAAGAACATTGATATTTGCTTGCCTTAAGACTTTTAGTCACTACCAAGAAAAGGTGGCAGCATTTTTTATATGCCTAGTATCTGGCCCACAGGGAATTGAAATTCATTCAGTAACCACAGATGTGTAGTTTACAGTGGTAGCTCACTCGTTCTTTCATTAACCAGATTATTTACTGGCTGCCTACCAAGTGCCAAGCACTTGTGATTGTGATTCAAAGAGTAAGATTGTTCTGATTTTTTAAGGAACTTTACATTCTATTGGGAGTGACTGATTATTTCAGATACCAGTAAGTCCTATCCTACTCCCATCCCAGACTTAAGTGAAATGAAGTTATTTTTTGTACACATGCTGTATTTATTTAGTAAATATGTGTTGAGCTTCTGTACTGTCAGACTCCAGGGTTACAACAGTGAACAAAAACAGTCACAGTCCCTCAGGGATTACCATTATAGTGGAGGAGATATAATAATTGCACAGTTAAATAAAGAACTACCTCATTATTAATTGTGAGAGAGATACTTTGAAAGAAAAGTACAGAATCTTAAGAGAGACTCCTATTCAAAGAGTCTAAGTTAACATTTGAATAACTGAGAACTGGTGACAGTTGCTGAGGCCTGAGTAAACTGGAAGGAAGTAAATGAGGTGAGAGGCAGAGACCAGATCTTGACTTGAAGACCATATAAGAACTTGAAACTGGGACACCTGGGTGGCTCAGTGGTTGAGCGTCTGCCTTCAGCTCAGGGCGTGATCTGGGAATCGGATGGAACCTGCTTCTCCCTCTGCCTGTGTCTCTGCCTCTCTGTCTCTCATGAATAAAGAAATAAAATCATTAAAAAAAAAAACTTGAAACTTATTCCTAATGACAGTGAGAAGCAGTTGAAAGTGGTTTGGGGTAGGGGTGGTGGCAGTGACAGGGGTGTTGACAGAATTGGATATATGTTTTAAAGAGAATACTTTGCTCTGTGTGGTGTGATTTAGAAGAGAGGCTGACTGGACAGTTCGGAGCTAATTCCAAACCCCAGATTATTGTTTGTGGAAGCTTATATGGGGGCCATAGCAGTGAAGGAGAGAAAAGTAGATGTTTTGAGAATTAAATAACTTCATGCTGGATTGATGTGAGAACTAGGAAAGAAGGAGCTATTGAGGATGATTCCCAAAATTCTAGTTGTTAAGTTACTAATTTTATGGATGGATCATTTAAGTAGAAAGGAATCACTGGAGAATGAATGAGGAGATCTGAGAGTGAAAATCAAGAGTAATGTCAAATTTGGTTATGTGAGATGTTAACATAAATACATCAATAAGTAATTGGATCTTCAAGATAATAAGCTTAAAAGAGACTTAGGATACGATTAGGGGAACCATGAATATGTCCACAGTATTTAATTTCATAAGAATTATGTTACTCTCAAATTAGTACCTATAAGGTAGTACCTCTGTGGTGAATGAGAACATCTGTCATTTTAAATGCATATAACTTTCTGGGTGCCTAGCTGACTCAGTCAGAAGAGCATGGGATTCTTTATCTCAAGGTCGTGAGTTCAAGCCCCACACTGACTATAGAGATTACTTAAAAAATAAAACTTAAAAAAATAAGAATAAATGCATATAACTTTCAGTGTAGCAAGTCGCTTCAAATTTCACATATAAGTTCATATGTTACAAAATAATGTGGTCAAGAATGTCCATTGCAAATACACATACACACACACACACACACACACAGAAATATATCCATTGCAACATTCCTTATAGTGGTAAGAGTTTGGAAACACCCTAAATGTATGCCAGTGGAGGTTGGTTAAGTAAGTTTTTAATACACATTTTGAGTAGAATAACATATAACTATTAAAAAGAATGCAACAGCTCTGTATATACTGATACATAGTGATATTCAAGATGTACTATTTAGGAAGAAAAAAGGTACCAAAATTGTAGACTACTGTTTGTGTTTATAAGGGAAAAAAAGGAAAGTGAAGGGGAAGATAGTATAAAATATGCTGATTATCTCTGAAACGTTAAAGAAGCTACTGGTTCCCTGGGGGAGTGATACTGGATAATTGGGAACAAAGGTGATAGGTAAGGTTGGTTACCACTGCATACTCTTTTGTATTTTGTCCTTTGTCCATGGATTACCTTCTCAAAAATAAAGTAATTAAAAGTAAAAAATCCATGGGAATAATTGAGGTTGTCTAGGGAGAGACTAGAGAAAAAAGAGTGAGTACCTCTGAACTTTTAAACAGTAGGTAGAATTGCAGGATCCAGCATAGAAGAGTATATCTTACACTTGAATGTAAAGAAAGCATCTTTACTTGAAGTCAGAAGTCAAATTAAGAAGAGGAAAGAGATGATACAGGAACACGCAGGTATCTGGGCTTGATAAAAGCAAGCTCCAATACGGTGATGGTGCCGTAACCATACTAGGTGGGTTGAAGAGTAAATGATCGCTGAAGAAACAGAACCATGATTGTAGGCAGGTGAAGTGTGATTAGGAGAGGAACAGTGAAGGGGGTGGGGTGAAGCTGGAGGAATCGTGGAGTTAAGGGAAATTTTTATTTCTGGGTGGAAGATGGGAGAACAAACTGTATACTGGTAGCAATAATTCTGTGGAAAGGAAAATGATGACATAGAGGAAGGGAATAATTGTGACAGATGTCAGAAGTTCAAGAAATAACAAATAAAATTAATGAATCATTGAAGTAGTGATTAGTAAGTTTTTTGTGCACGCATTGCAAAAAGACAGTTTGCAAACTGGGAACCTACAAACCAGAACATGGACTGAAGCTAAGGGGTATATTGTTATAAAGCGGCTTAGAGAGTGAGAAAGCAGTGACTATTCTTTACAGTGACTGGTTATAGTGTTAGAATTTTCTTTAAGTGAGAGAGAATTGGTTAGGGGTTACCTCTATCAACCTTGGGAAACAGTGTAAGTTTTGCTTTTGATTTCCAGAGGCATAAGCAAGATATGACCCCCAGGTAAATTTAGCTTTGCTGAATAAGCTAAATTAAGCTTTGTTTACATGATGAAACTCATGAATTTCATCAGAGTTCAGAGAATTTTCAAGCTGATCTCTGTTTTTTATTTTAACACAGAAAGAACAGTAGGTCAGGAAAGAAGAGGAAGATCCAGTAGGAAAACTAAAATAAAAGTTGGTACGGGCAGTCTGGGTGGCCCAGCGGTTTAGCACCGCCTTCAGCCCAGAGCGTGATCCTGGAGACCCAGGATCGAATCCCAAGTCGGGCTCCCTGCATGGAGCTATTTCTCCCTCTGCCTGTGTCTCTGCCTCTCCCTCTCTCTCTGTGTCTCTCATGAATAAATAAATAAAATCCTTAAAAAAAAAAAAGTTGGTACAAATGAATGTCTCTGAGAACTGAGAGGCTTAGATTTAGAGAAATAATGAAAGATGGCTTTAGTAAGAAGGAAGTGAAAAAGTGGGAGATTGTTTTTAATTTTTGCAAGTCTGTAACAACTGGCTTATAGAAAGCACTTGAGTTCTCATACCTGCTTTTGTACCTCGTTTCTTGCTACATCATATGTTACATATCCTTTGGAAAACACTGTAAACTTATGAGAGAAAGGGAGTATGTCATGGTATTATGAGGACAGTAAGATTCTTTCTAAACATCTGCTTTGGATTATATTTGCATAAAGCATATTAGGAAGTTTTCCTAATGTTTGAATTATATGTAGTATTAAGAATATGAGGTGATTAAATCCCTGATCAAAATAATGATTAAAGTTTTTGGTGTAATTATATCTTGAGTTTCCTTTGAAGAACAGGAGCATAGTAGGAGGAAGAAGTGTGAAATTTACTATATTCCAGTTAATGTGTTTAGCTCAAACTAAAATAGTGCATAATTTAAGTGTAGATGACCTCAGGTCACGTTCTTACCTATTCTTGCTTTTAGACGGCAGTGTACCAGACCCTGTTTTAAAGCTGTGCAGTAAATATTTCACAACCATCTTTTTATTTACCAAATGATAAAATACCTAGTTTCAAGCCTGTGTTTACAGAAATTTTAGAGAGAGAGAAGTAGATAATCTGAAAAAGATGAGTAGGCTGTGTCTCCAATGAAAAAGTAAGGCTTTGGAATCAGGGAGGTTGTATATTTTAAATCTCAGTTGGCAAATGGGAAAAATAACTTTGAAGGAGAACATGAAACTCGAACATGACTATAAATTTAGTAAATTCAGTACTTTTTAATTTCCTCTTCTCTTTTCCTTCACAATTAGAGAAACTTTTAAGATTTTTAAAAAAATTTCTAACCTTTTATCTCATTCCTTTAAGAGCATGAGATAAAGTTTCTATAGATACATAAAGAGGTATTAGGAGTTTTAATACTGATAGATTTTCATTTTTTCATTAATTAGGATCTGTGTCCTTATTTGTATCTTCATTGTATTTTGAAACTTAATATAGTAGTTATTTCACAGTGTGAGTTGGCTGCAGCATTGCTAGACAGCTTTTAACATGAGACTGCCTCCTTTCTTAATGTACCTCCTAGTTGTGGGTGTATCCTTGTATTAAAAAATAATGAAATTGTACATCTGTGTGTTTACCCAGAATTTCACATAATTTTCATTTTATCACTTTGTAAGGGTGTAAGTAGCATTCTAGAGGAGTTGATTTTTAGGTTCTTAACTTTTCTCTGCTTTTTTTTTCTAGACAGTTCAGTTTGTTCAGGGAATTTTTGTTGAAAAATATGACCCAACGATAGAAGATTCCTACAGAAAGGTAAAAATGTGAAACTTGTATACACATGCTTACAAATAGTTCCTTAGGGCTTTAAAAACTTGATTCATAGAATTGCTTTTTAAAAGTTATTTTGAGAAGTGATATAAATGTTCCCGGTTTTTAAGTTTCACCAAGACAGAATATTTCTCATAAAGTACTACTTAGCCACAGAGAGCTCTGTGTTCTGTTACTGATTAGTAATCTGTCCTTTAGTGTACAACATTTCTCTGGTGTTTTTTTTTTTAATGTAGAAAAATTGTGTATAAATAGTAGGTATATTTTTGACAATTCTTTTTGTGAAGGAAAATTAAGATCACCTTTATACTCGAAGATACCCAGTGACTAAAGGTTTTTATTTTTATTTAGTTTTATAACTTTGAAGATATTTTCTCTTTAGACCGTAAGAAATTAGATACTGGATTCTATATGATATAAAAATGGTAGGTACGTGTCATTACACATTTTCCCAACCCACAGAATGTACAACACCAAGGGTAAAACTGTAATGTAAACTGTGGACTTTGCGCGATCATGATGTCTCTGCGCAGGTCTGTTGAGTCTAACAAATGTACCACTCTGGTATGGGAGGTTGATGGTAGGAGAGGCTAATGGGGAACAGAGAAGGTTGTATGGAATCAGTATACTTTCTGCTTGATTTTATTGTCATCCTAAAGCCAAAGTTCTGAAAACATTTAAAAAATTCAAAAGAAAAAAAATTAAATAGTCTTGACAAATAATCTTGACCATTGTATTTCATTATGAGACTAGCATTATGAGGAATTTTTATGATTTTATTTCCCAGTATGTTAAGGGCCGGCAGGGGGAGGGGCAGAAAATTAAACCTACCTTTCAACAAATAGGAAAGGATTACTTCATTACACGTTGTAGAATATACCTTTAATAGTGTTATAAATTTTGTTAAATTTTGTAAGCTCAACCAGCCATACTGGCGCAGCAGTCATTATCTGCAAATTGAAAATAAAAATGTATTCTAGTTACATTGAAAAACTACCTAATTCATTATTCATTGAGCATTCTCATTTAATGATTGTGCAGATTACCACATTAGTCCTGTAAGTGGTGGGACAATGAGTTTGTAGCACCACCAAGGGTGCTTCTTAGCAATCCCTGATCTGACACAGAAGCATTTAAAATAGGCCTTAGATCAATACGTTTATTTTTAGAAGACAGTGTTGCATTACTAAAATTGCCCCCAAATAAGTTGCTGGCTAAAGCTGTAACTATAAACAGATTTGTACCTAGAATGTTGAAGATTTGACTCATTTCTAATTTAAAAATTCTTTATTAAAAATTTTCCACACAGTTGATCTTGATACTCTCTTTAGGCCAACCTTCTCTTATTTTATAAAACACTGGAGAAATAGAATTTGGTATATAAAATTTCAGCTTTTGCACATAGCGTAGGGTCTTTTTCTTAAAGTCCTGAGGACTATATGAGTTCAGTGTTTCCATTTTAGCACATCTGTGTTCCCCTTATCTCTTAAATTAAAATTTTCCTATGTACCAAATTTGGGACATATTAGTAAAACTTTAACAACTTGAATGTGGTAAGTTGGCAGAATTTTCTTTACCCCCAAAATCTTATCTGCATTTTGAGCTATTTAATACTTTTGTGCTTTGTTTTCTTTGAAGATAATATACTTATTTTTATACATTTTTATTTCTGTCAGAACTATACCTGTTTGTTGTAGTTTTTCTTGAATTGGAGAATATGACCATTGCCTTCTAAAAATAGCAAAAATCTTTACTCAGTTTATAGTGATCAGAAAATACCTAAACTCAGCATTAACAGTCCCGGCTTCTATAGTATTAATAGAACATGCTTGAGACCTCTTGTTCTTCATTATACTACCAAGTTAAGTCTCAGCCAATAGGGCAAACTCCTAGAAAAAGGCTTTATAATTGTAATAGGTACTTGGAATGAAGAGATGACAGGAAAGCAGATTCACATTTTGATTTTGATAATACTTTTCTCATTTTTCCTCCCTTTCCCAACAGCAAGTCGAAGTAGATTGCCAACAGTGTATGCTCGAAATCCTGGACACAGCAGGAACAGTAAGGATGTTTTCTCTTTTTCTGATAGATTATAGTTAGTGAATAGGTTTTGTCATCTGAATAATTCTTCTGAGTAAAAGTAATTATTCTGATTAAGAACAAATTATCTAAATGTAGGGCTTCTTAAATTTTCTTACGTGCTTCCAACCATCTGTGATGTACTTAATACCCACATATCACTCTTAAATTTTATGTTGAGGGATCCCTGGGTGGCACAGCGGTTTGGCGCCTGCCTTTGGCCCAGGGCGCGATCCTGGAGACCCGGGATCGAATCCCACATCGGGCTCCTTGCATGGAGCCTGCTTCTCCCTCTGCCTGTGTCTCTGCCTCTCTCTCTCTCTCTCTCTCTCTCTGACTATCATAAATAAATTTTAAAAAAATTTTATGTTGAGTTCACCTATAGAATGTGTTGGATATCTTCTTCCTATATGGAAGTAAGGATTACCCTATTGCTGCTTTTTTTTTTAATTTATTATTTTTTTTTTGGTGTTCAATTTGCCAACATAAAGAATAACACCCAGTGCTCATCCCATCAAGTGCCCCCCTCAGTGCCTGTCACCTAGTCACCCCCACCCCCCTCCCTTTCTACCACCCCTTGTTCGTTTCCCAGAGTTAGGAGTCTCTCATGTTCTGTCTCCCTTTCTGATATTTCCCACTCATTTTTTCTCCTTTCCCCTTTATTCCCTTTCACTATTTTTTATATTCCCCAAATGAAGGAGACCATATAATGTTTGTCCTTCTCTGATTGACTTATTTCAGTCAGCATAATGCCCTCCAGTTCCATCCACGTTGAAGCAAATGGTGGGTATTTGTCGTTTCTAATGGCTGAGTAATATTCCATTGTATACATAGACCACATCTTCTTTATCCATTCATCTTTTGATGGACACCGAGGCTCCTTCCACAGTTTGGCTATTGTGGACATTGCTGCTATAAACGTCGGGGTGCAGGTGTCCCTATTGTTGCTTTTTTTAAAAAGGTATTTTGAATCCAGAATTTTAGTTAAAATATGTATTTATCTGGGTTTATGTGAGACTTTGTCTTGGCACCATAGTCATTAATTTTTATCAAAGTTGTTTTTGCATTTTATTAGCATTTTAACATCTCAAGGAGCTATTGACAGATACATGTTTTCTGATAAAAATCTTTAGAATCCTAAAGCCTCATTTTTTGAAGCCATATTTTGAAGCCTCATTTTTTTCATCTTTAAATGACTACTCCTGATGACATTAGTATATCATACAGTGCTTGTAATGATCAAATTAGATAGTGATTATAAATCACTTGGCACAATGCCTGTTATTGTAGTATTAACTCCAAGTATTTGCTTCTATTTGCATTGCGTTCATTTGTCACCTCCTTTATAATTTTATTAATTGCTGATAATTTCCTGTTTATATTGCCATAAAAAAATGCACACATTAAGTGATTTTTCTTTTTTTTCTCCATATACATAGACTTTACCTATTAGGCAATTCTCAGTTTGAAAATGGATGGTATTCTTAAATGTTGTAAGTTGTTTGAAATTTATCACAAATTTTCCACACATTTTTATAAATGATGAGAAAGCCTCATGTCATTAAGAAAAGCATATAGGTAGAATGGAGCATTTGTAGAGCTAATTATACCATATTTTCCCATTCTTTTGTGGGAAAATGCATCTTGACTCCAGTAGGAAACTTGGGATCATTAGTACTACATCTTTCTTGTATCTGCTGACTCAAAAAATCTCCTTTCTCCATCCCACCCACCCCAATTTCCTTAGCTTCTGAATCAGTAGTCATTCCCCTCTGTTCCCAGACACCCCAACAGTTAACACTTTTCTACTTTTTCCTTTCATCTCTTCCACAAGCACGAAGGAGTTCTTTCTTCTTCTTCCTCTTGTCCAAATTAAGGAAGTTCATCCCTTCCATTGAGATCTTTCCTTTGTGCTCTTAAATGTCTTGTCACTCTCCCATCCTAGTGCTGTGACACGTATTGTGTTATAATTGCCTGTTTAGTTGTCTGTGTCCCTAGTGCCTCCCATAAAGCTTAGAAAATACTTGATACTTATTAATCATGTCCCAGATCACTCCTTACTCCTTGAAGATTTTGCTCACTCTCTTCATCACTGCTTCAATCAGAATTCTTGGTGATTTTGTTATTCAAATAGAATCTATATGTATATTATAGATGATCAGTTTCCTCGACCTGTCAGTTTATTGACCTCCTTACTGCTTCAGCTATTCCTGCCATGGTTTTATCTAGACTATATGATTACCAATAAGTGTGATACCACCTTCATCTCATATTCAAGCATGCTACTCATTCTCCACCTCTTGTTTTTTCATCTCCCTTCCTTTTATACCTTCAACTTCACTGGAACCTGCAGTTCATTTATCCCACTATCTTTGAGTGTCTTTATGTCCTAACCCCCATCTTCACACAGCTTCAAGTCATGGCCTGTCATTCATGATCAGCCCTCTGCACATATTGTCAACTCCTTAGACTTTTCAGCAACCTCCAGCTCAGTTGATTACTCTCCTCTAAAAATTTTATTCATTTGGCTTCCAGGAAACAACACTTGGTTTTTTCCTTCTATCATTGGTTACTCCTGAGTCTCCTTTCCTAATTTGCTTTCATATCCCCAACCCCTTATGTTGGAGGACCTCAGGATTCAGTACTTGGACTTCTCTTTTCTAACAGCACTTCCTTGGAGGTCATCTTTAGTGGTATCAAAATAATTTAATAGGATCTATATGTAAAAAGGAATTATGTATAGTTTTCTAAACCACACAGAAAGCATGTTAAGGTGGTTAAGATCTCTCTCCTAATTCCTTAGTTCATTGTCATTGCCTCTAGTCATGTAAGTAGGGAACAAGAACATCTACCTCAGAGTTTCTAGAAACTGTATAATAGGTCTTATATTTCCTGTCATGATAGCATGTAAGAAAAGATTCAGTCGCTCACTTGTAATGATTTGGGTTTAAATTGTTTCAGAATACATTCAAGAAATTGTACTTTTAATTGCACATTTTTTTTGTAGGAGCAATTTACAGCGATGAGGGATTTGTATATGAAGAATGGCCAAGGGTTTGCACTAGTATATTCTATTACAGCTCAGTCCACGTTTAATGACTTACAGGACCTGAGGGAACAGATTTTACGGGTTAAAGACACAGAAGATGTAAGTATTTTTCTCTCTATAAGACATACTGCTCGTTCTTTGTGGCCAAATAGAAAGTGTCTGTTTTTCTTTTAAGAGGATTGGGTGGCGCAGCGGTTTGGCGCCTGCCTTTGGCCCAGGGCGTGATCCTGGAGACCCGGGATCGAATCCCACGTCAGGCTCCCGGTGCATGGAGCCTGCTTCTCCCTCTGCCTGTGTCTCTGCCTCTCTCTCTCTCTCACTGTGTGCCTATCATAAATAAATAAAAATTTTTTAAAAAAAAAGAGGATTTGGAGGTTATCTACCATATAGTTAAAAGCATCCCTGTGATCAAAAATTTTTTACAGTTTTCTCAATTTACCTATACATTATATGATAAGATAGTTAGAAAAGGAGGGCATGTATGATAAAGTGTACTCATTGTGCTTTGTGCTAGTAAGTGCAGGAGGGAAGAAAGAGGAGTCCAAAGACTTGGTAGAAGTGGTGGGACTTGAGCTTTGAATGGTGATAGTTAACATCAGAAACTGTTCAGAGAACATTAGTAAGAACCATAGTGATATGTTCCATTTCTAAAATTCTCTGGTATCGTTTGTACTTAAGAGTTTTTTCCTTTGAATTATGTTGAAGATTTTAATTAACTGGGCTTTTATGTTTTTTTAATTATATTTTGTTGCAGAATTCATGCCTTATTTGGTGAATAACATCATTGCTGTTGTGCCTTTTTGCAAAGATGTACATTTTACTTGTTTACCTCAGTTTTGAATTACAGAGAGTTCCTTTTCAGTTGTATAAATTGGGATATAAAATTTCATTTGTACCTTTCTGTTTTTACGTGTTCTCTCTCATTATTAATGGGAACATATGCACCTGCTCAGGACCTTAACTTTGGGTAATACCGTAGGCGGAAAGGATTTCTACCATAGGACTCATGATCAACCATAACCTAATGAATAGTTTTCTTCCTTCCCATGAGTAATTTATCTAAGAGACTTCTGTTTTCATAGGCAATTACATGCAAATCACTGAAATATGGCAATGTTGGTCTCTTTATCTTGTGTCATAACTAAAAATGATGGAGTTGTAGATGTATGTTTCATCTAACTTGTGATAATTGCCTATTTTAGGTACAAGACCCACCATGTCCCTTAAATCCTTTCTTGTGTGTAGCGTCCATCTCCTCACAAATGACTTTGTTCTGTGGACGCCTTTTATCTAAGGACATTATACAGTTTGTTAGCACTTTGTTTTATTGGAAGTAGGGACAGCATTTCTGATACAAGGGAAAGGGGGAGGCATAGCTGCTCTGTGGCTTTTTTTTTTTTTTTGATTGTTATTCCTTCTTAACACCTCACCTAAACTGGTCTTCAGATCTAATGTAAAATGCAGAAGGAGAACCTATTATTATGTTGGTCTTGCCACTGCTTTTGTGTTTGTTGGCCCTGTGAGATGAAGCACTTAAACTGTAATTAGGCCCAGTGAATATATACATTCTTTTCTGCTTGCAGGAGATTTCTTTTCCTTCAGATTTTTGTACATAGAATCCAGCTATTAGTAGTAGTAGTCCACATAAGAATTATGTGATTATATCCTTAAAATAATTTAGCAAATGAGCATAGTAGAGCTCTTCCATATTTTTTCTGTCTCTTCCCCCTCCATCTACTTTCTTCCCCCCAATGTGTATACATAAAATTTTTTTAATCACTTGGCAAAGCTTATAGTTCTAATACATTTCGATTGGTGACAGGTGACTGCTTACTTATAAGGGGGTAAGGAACAAGTATGCTACTGCTCATATTACATTTTCTCCTTTCCACAGGTTCCAATGATTTTGGTTGGCAATAAATGTGACCTGGAAGATGAGCGAGTAGTTGGCAAAGAGCAGGGTCAGAATTTAGCAAGACAGTGGTGTAACTGTGCCTTTCTAGAATCTTCTGCAAAGTCAAAGATCAACGTTAATGAGGTAACTGACAGCTGCTAGGCAGCACAAACAAGTGCCCTTTTAGTTACCTTTCTTTTAAATTAATAGTCAAAACCAAATTTTTGAAAGAAAAAAATTTTATTCTTCTAAGTATGTAGAGAACTAAGTAATTCTTAGAAACTGTATTTCCTCTCTTGCATAAAATCACTTTGATGGCTGTAATGAGGACTCTTATATTTACCTTATTGGCAAAGAGAAAGTTTAAGTTAAATAATGTGCCCAAAGTCCTGTTGAGCTTCTGAGTGATATGCCAGAAGGTGGTATGTGCAAATTTTTCTATCACCCTTGTATTGTAGCATTTGCCTATGCACATGTATGTAAAGAGGTTGTCAAGTAGGAAAATACAAAAATCAAAGTAGTTATTGAGCTTATGAACTTATACAGAAAGAGATTACCTCATGGATATCACAGAATTTGGTGTTTTGAGTCATGTTTTCCTTTGGTTTCTGACTCAAAGGGAAAAATCTGTCAGCATGGACGTGGAACTAAAATTCACCTGTTCTTTGAGGCCTGATACAGCAGGTGCCCAAGGCTTTTTTTTTGTCTGTGACTTAAGCTTTCTACTATCTTGAGAACATAGCTGTGACAGGAATACTTTAACAAGCATGCCTGCCTGCCTGGGTGTAAATCCAGTACCCTCCTGGATCCCTCAAAGATCAGTGCAATTCCACCTGCCACCACTAATGTTCTATTTGCTTTTGTTTTAATATAAGCTTTTTAAAAAGCAAACAAAAAACCAGAGTAGGCTTCTTTCCTTTCCCTGTAATGCAAGTCTTCACTTGCCAATTTTGCTTGTCATTTTGGCATCATAGGTGATCGGTCAGTTCAGCTCACTTTAGGTGAGTTATGGGTGTATTAGGTTGTCAGGATCCTTTGTTTTTGTTTGCTGTTTTCTCTGACCTTTGGGTCTGTAGGTCACTTTCCTTGACTTAATATTACAATTTTAGACTATTGTCTGACTTTTAAAATGACTAAATGACTTTAAACATCTGACAGGCAAGGGACACCTGGGTGGCTCAGCAATTGAGCTCCTGTCTTCAGCTCAGGGTGTGATCCCAGTCTGGGATTGAGTCCCTTGTCGGGCTCCCTGCAGGGAGCCTGCTTCTCCCTCTGCCTGTGTCTCCGCCTCTCTGTGTCTCTCATGAATAAATAAATAAAATCTTTAAAAAAACAAATAAACCTCTGACAGACAAAAAAATTAGGCTTGCTACAAATCCTCTGATTTCAAATAACCAAGAATGTTAAAGCTTGCTTTTTTAGGTAAAAGCAGTTTTTATAAGTATATAAAGATTCATAAATTTCATTTATTCAGGAAATATTTATTGCATGCTTATATTTCTGGCAATGTGTCAGGCCCTGGGGTAACAGTGATCCAGACAGACACTGTTCCTGCCCTAAAGAAGTTTATATCCTAGTGGGGAGCAAGTCCTACTGAGATCTTCAACAGTCATTTCTTTTTCACTGCCAAGTAAATGAAAGGAAGTATATACTTTTAGCTTCAGCTTTCTCTGTTGTAGAATTATAGTTTCATAGATTTATTTTGAAAAATTTGGCTAATCATAACATTTTAAGTTTTTTTTTTAAAGAGTTTTATTTATTTGAGAGAGACAGTGTGTACAGAGGGAGAAAGAGAAGCAGACTCCCTGCTGAGCAGGAAGCCTGACACGCTCAATTCTAGGACCCCAGGATCGTGACCTGTGCCGGAGGCATACGCTCAACCAACTGAGCTATCCAGACACCCCTAAAATTTTAAGTTTTGGTACAGTCTTTTCCCTCCAAAAAAGAAAAGAAATAGAGAAAGGAAACTGAGATAAAAAGCATTGGGGGTGGCTGGCGCCTGGGTGGTTCAGTTGGTTGAGCATCCAACTTTTTTTTTTTTAAGATTTTATTTATTCATTCATGAGAGAGAGCGAGAGAGAGAGAGAGAGGGAGAGAGAGAGAGGCAGAGACACAGGCAGAGGGAGACGGAGGCTCCATGCAGAGAGCCCGACGTGGGACTCGATCCCGGGACCCCAGGATCACAGCCCGGGGCCAAAGGCAGGCACTGAACCTCTGAACCACCCAGGCTGCCTGAGGATCCGACTTTTGATTTCAGCTCAGGTTGTGATCTCAAGGGTCGTGAGATCAGCAAGGAGCCTACTTGGGATTTTCTCTCTCTCCCTCTCCTCTGCCCATCTCCCTGCTTATATGCTTATTCTCTCTTCCTCACATAAATAAACCTTGGGGGGAAAAAGCATTAGGATTGTTGCATGAACTTGGCTAGGGAAATATTAGTGCAACATCACCATCTACAGGATGATTGGACTTAGGGATCTGGTTTCTTGCTCTCGCTGTTCTCACTCTCACTGGTAGCCACCCACCAGTTTCATAGGACTTGGCTCTGCTGGGGCTGGATTGGGCCACAGTCCAGGAAGCACCATTGACAGGAGGTGTTTCTTACTTTTAAAGCATTACATGTTTGTGGGAACTCACCTGCTACTTGCTAAGCCTCCTGGGTTGTAGTTTCCAGTGCCCCAGAGGTCCATTTTCACAGCAGTCTTGTTAAAATCAACCCTTGGTATGAGGATTTATTAAACAAAAATGGAGAACAGTAAAACAAATTGGAATACATTAGCTATTTTAAGGATCCTTACTCTTTTGAGGAACATACAAGCTTTTTATGCTAGAGTATATATTCAAGTTTCTTTCAATGTTTCTCTCTTTATAGCCTGATAATCCAGCTACAGAGTTTCTTTGATAGTTAATAGTACCTCAGGCAGCTAAGGCTTTATAAATATACATGTGATTCCTGTTGGACTCAAATTTCAAATCACACAGGGACATACTGCTTGGCTAAATAGGTCCCTGCTGCCTATATCAGAATGAATATACATATATTAAACTATTATCCATACCATTTTTGCTATGTTCTGAAAGTAGGAAATAGTAATACCAGAATCACATCAGTCTTAATCAAGAATTAATTGTTCTTTGCTGAGGTTGGAATAATAATTGGAATCAAGTGAACATCCCAGTTGAGTAATGGCAGAGGGATTGAGAAACTATTCTGTGTTCCCTTTAGATTTTTCTGTAGTTGAGAGATATGAAAAAGAACCTAGGCTGAGGACTCTGAGCATATCTAACTGAATACTTAGTATAGTTTGAACTTGCCTTCGTCACTGAACCAGCTATTGTGAAGTGGGCAGCGTGAAAGAAGTTGTTGAGAATATCACTACAAAATCAATTAGTGTAGTACCAAAACCCCAAAGCTGCCTGGCATAAAGAAACGTGGTTTTGATTCTTAGACTATTTTAGTTCTTTTAATTTTTCATCTTATAGCTTATGTGCTAAGGCTAGGGAACAAATGAGAACTTGTTTGTGGCTTATCCATATTAAGTTCTTAAAGGGTTTCAGAGCTGTGAAAGAGACTGCCGTTTTGTTCGTAAATCCTGTGTTTTCAGCTTTCTTAGAAATTAGATAATAGAGAAGTTAAATGGCTTGAAGGAGATGGCGGTGAGGAGGATGTAGCAGAAAGAAAAGAATATAAATGCATCACTTATAATTTTAGGATAAATCACTCAGTAGTGGCTTTTTTTTTCTTTTTAATAATTTAGCCTTGTAATCTTAGGATTATAAGGTAAATAGAGGTTGTTTTATCTGAGCACCATCTTAAAGAAATGTAGACCAATGATTCTTAAAGTATTTTACTTTTAAAACTTACTGAAAATATGTAAGAACACTAAGAATTTGTTTACTCTTCATCCAGATTTCACCAGTTAACATTTTGTCAATGTTTACTTATCACCCTCCTTTATTCATAAATACGTTAGTATATGTACCCTTAGATCAAAGATATTTTCTTTATACAACCACAACACAATTATTAAAATCAAGTCCATGTTCAGTGCATATTCAAATTTTGTCATTTGTCCCTATGCCCCTAAAAGCTGGGACTTATGATAGACTTCTACAAAGCACTTTTATTATAGATGAGTAATAGTAAAGAGATTCTGCAATATTTGTTTCTATTCCAGGTGATTAGTATTTGCATTTCATAGCAAAGAACTGAATTCTGCTGATCTGTTGTTTAATTATTCTGACACTTTGAAACATATAAACATATTGGAATTAAAATAATAATCTTTTAAATAAGTACTATTGTATTTTTCTTTGATGCTTTGCATTTCTCATTCAAAATGAATCCAGAAGATATATTAACAAATTATTTGTCACTTCAAATTGGGGTCACTTTTTCTCTTTTTCACTTTAGCCAAAACCAATATCACCAAAAGAGGCAAACAAAAATCATGTGCCTTTACATGTATCTTAAAAGGAACTTAAGTTCCTCTTAAGTATCTCTTTTGTCCTGGTCCAGTCAAAAATATATAGCATGAATATAATCATGAAGAAACATCAGACAAACCCAAATTGAAATTCTATAAAGTTACTAGCCATCCATTTTCAGAAATGACAGTGTCATGAATGACATACTGAAGAACCAACCATTCCAGATTCTAAAAGGTTAAAGTGACAGGAAATTAAATGCAATATGTGATCCTAGATGGACTCTTTGTGGTGGAGGGGAGCAGGAATTACTATAAAGGACATTATTGAGATAATTTACAAAATTGGAATCTGCACTGTAGATAATACAGAGTAATGTATCAGTGCTTAAATGTATTCAACCGGATAACTATAATATGGTAATGGAAGAATATCCTTGTTCTTAGGAGATACACACTCAACTATTAAGGGACCGTTATATGCAAGCTACTCTCAAATGGTTTAGAAAATAAGAGAGTGTATTTAGCAATTAATGATAAAGTACACGTGGTAAATTGTTCCTAATTAATGAACCTGTATAAAGAAAATACACAAGTCCTTGGTATTATTCTTGCAACTTCTCTGTTAAGTTTGATTTTTTTTTTTTAAGATTTATTTATTTAAGAGAGAAAGCGCATGTGCTTGTGAACAAGGGGAGGGACAGAAGGCAAGGGAGAGGGAAATAAGCAGACTCCCTGCTGAGCGGGGAGCCCATGGTGGGGCTCCATCCCAGGACTTTTAGATCATGACCTGAGCCAAAATCAAGAGTCGGGCACTTAACCAACTGAGCCACCCAGGTGCCCAAGTTTGACATTTTTAAAAAGTAGAATAAATGTGAAGATTCAATGTGAACATTAACTATTATTCCCTTAATAATTAATGTATTGAAGCATAGAAGATTCCATGAAGACTGTAACTTCACTGCCTTGTTTTTTACTACTCATTTTTTTCTTGATACTGAATATCTAAGAGCAGGTGTATTTCCTTCATGGTAAATTGGTAAGTCCTGCTTTACCCTGAGAGTCACGTGGGGCTTCTAAGAAACCTGCTGTTAGGGATCCCTGGGTGGCGCAGCGGTTTAGCGCCTGCCTTTGGCCCAGGGCGCGATCCTGGAGACCCAGGATCGAATCCCACATCGGGCCCCGGTGCATGGAGCCTGCTGCTCCCTCTGCCTGTGTCTCTGCCTCTCTCTCTTTTTCTGTGTGACTATCATAAATAAATAAAAATTAAAAAAAAAAAAAGAAACCTGCTGTTAAAGCAGTATTATATAGATCCAAGGGCAGAATCCCATTGAACAGAACCAGGATGGTTTTGTGGAGCAAGATCTCAAATGTTTGTTGAATAAGACATTTTTTCTCTTGTTTTTATTTAGATATTTTATGACCTTGTCAGACAGATAAATAGAAAAACGCCAGTGGAAAAGAAGAAGCCTAAAAAGAAATCATGTCTGCTGCTTTAGACTTACAGTAAGCAGCAGCTCTGAGCCAGGTAAGATACTGAAAGCAGAACAAATGCCGTTCTCATACTCTTATTTTGGGCTTTCCCCAGCCCTAACCACTTCCCATTTCACCTTTTGGGGTATTTCCAGGTTTCTGTATCTTGTGAACGTGATTGATATATGGCTTGTAGATATGTTCCTCTGTTGATAATTTGTCTTTCTCCCCATAAGATTGTAAGGTGTTTGAGGGCAAGGACCATGTGTGCTCATATGTGCTTTATTCACCCTGTGTCCCTAGTGCCAAGTACAGAATGGGTTTTCAAAAAATAGTGGTTGAATAAATGGAATGCCTTCTAGGGTCATTCCTAAATTCATGCCCAATTAAAGTGAAATATGGTTTATCTGAAACAAAATGCTTAAGTGCACATTTTGATGCATTATTTAAAAATGAACACACCTGTGCGTATCAATCACAGTCTTTCCTCCCCTCAATGTAACCCTTGCTCTGATTGTTAACACAATTAGTTTTGCCTCTCTTTGAACTTAACATTAACAAATACAGGTATTGTGTCTGGCACCTTTTAGTCAAAAATAAGTTTTCCAGAATTCTCCTTATTGCATATAGCAGTTCATTTTTATGTTCATTTTTACAGTACATGACTGTACTGGCAATATTTTTATATATTCTGCTATTGATGGACATTTGGGTTGAAGAACTGATGGGGTAATTCTGCACATTCTTGCATGAGTATGCACATGTGCATCATTTTTATTTGATGAATACCTAGGAATGAAATGGCCAGACTGTATATTATATGGATAGTTTTAGTAGATACTGTTAAAAAAGTTTTTCAAGGTAGTTGTACCAGTTTACACACCTACTAGCAGCTTTATAAGTTCTGCATCCTCTCCAAAATTGGTATTGCCAGTCTTTTTAACTCAAGCCATTCTTCTGGGTATGTGGTACTATGTTATGGTAGTCATTTCCTCTTGGGTATAGGTTGGCTTTTTTGAAATGTTTTGTCTACAGGCTTCTAAGTAGTAGTTGACCTTAAGTACCATTTAAATTTTCATTAAAGTGAACCTGTTGGAGGGAAATTAGTGGCAGCATTAAAGTTGCCTATCAAGTGAGAAACCAGGTGCTGAGGGACCATTTGTTTGTTTTCCTCTAATTATATATATTAAATCCCCTAAACAATTACTACTTATCTTCATAAGCTCTATAAACTATACCATAAAGGAATATTTTCATGAAGTTGTTTTATGATGTATTTTGATGCTGGTTATGTGCATATTACTAATCTTGGTCGGGTTAGAGGAAAGTCTACTTTTACCACTGGAGAGTTGGTTACACTAAGTCTTCTAAGTCTCTTGGGTCCTTTGAGCAGATTACCTCTTCCAGAGCACCAAATTAACTAATAAGTGCTTCCTTAGAGACTTGGATGAATCTCTCTCTCCAGGGAAACAACTGAGTAATTGTACCCCCCCCCCTTTAATTTAGTCTAATTTAATTTAATTTTTTTGGTACCTCCTTTTTAAATAAAGGTCAAGGAAATTGGGCAGAAAGCATGGGGTTGCCTCTGGTTGGATTTAGGAAAGATATAGCGTCTGGTCTAATGTTTGCTTTAGGCTTTTAGTGAAATCTTGATTCAATAACTATAAATCGTTAGCTCCCTGAAGATGATTATTTTAAAATTTGCTGGTGTGTTTGTTTAGGTAAGGGTGCAAAGGTAAGGAAAATAGGACTCCAGTTCCTATTCTGAACTAAATCATTTAGCTCTCTTATAGGTAACTGTCTCGTTGATGCTATTACCTTAGCTGACCCTAGTTTAATTTCCAGTTCTGTAGAAAATGTTTTAGCCTGTTTAAAGGAAGAGGTGCCATCTCCTGGCCTGTTGTGAAAATTCATTCATATACAACCTGCAGTGTGTTGTGGCTTTACCTGAGAGATTAATCTTGGCCTACATCCAGAAATAAGACTTTCATCCTGGCTGTGTAAATTCTTAGGTTCTGATATGTAATTCAGCCCAACAATATATTTAATACGTCACCTGAGATCTCCGTGGATGCTTGAAAATACTAAATAAGTCAGAATACTTGGCAGAGCAGAGAAATCATAGAGTGATTATAGACTGGAAGTGCCATGTTGATCCCACTTGAAAAGTACTGGAATGGGGAATAAATTTAAATAGCTATATTTATTTGAGTAAGAGTACATGAACCTTGAGGGCAGTTTATCTGACCTTATCCTTTAAGCAAGACTGTATTGAAACATGTTAATCTCTTTCCAGTATGTCCCACTTCTAAAGAGGAGAGAAATTCATCTTCAGGAAATTCTTCCTTTAACCTAATTCTTTTCTGCTGAGTAATACAACTAACTTGGAGTCTTCTGCCCTTGCCTATGGGGGTCAGCTCTTTCTGTGTCGTGTTTTCAGGTCCTAACTTGTGTTAGAAGTGGTAATCCAAGGGCCACCTGCGTGGCTCAGTCAGTTAAGTGTCTGACTCTTGGTTTCGGCTCAGGTCCTGATGATCTCCAGGTTAGGAGATGGAGCCGCCTCCCGCCCCACCCCCCAGACAAGCCCTGTATCACGCTCCCTGCTCAGTGCCAAGTCTGCTCAAGGGTTTTTCTCTCTCCCTCCCCCTCTGCCCTTCCCCCCACTTGTGCTTGTTCTCTTTCTCTCTCAAATAAATAAATAAAATATATTTTTTAAAGAAGTGGTAATCTTAATATCATATAGTCCTGAAGTGGTTGGATAAGGATATTTTATATGCAGGTATCATTTCCTTTTTGGAAAAATAAGATAATGAGATAGAAATAATTACAGTTTTCCTTTTTACAGACAGGACTGTCAGATTGTGAAATTAATAAAACCATTTTTAAATGTTTTTAAAAGTTTAAAATAGCCTTGTTACTGATAGCTGTTTGGTATAATTTCATTGTCTAGTAACAATCGGCTGAAATCATTTCTTTCTATATGATTATCTGCTTGTTCACTACCATCTTCTGACATCAAGAGATTAACTGTATATGTGTGTGTGTGTGTGTATATTACATGTTTATTTATTTTTACATATGTATATATATTTAAATATATCTATTCGATGTTCTAGATTACAGGAATGAAGAACTGTTGCCTAATTGGGAAGTGCCAGCATTCCAGACTTCAAAAATTAAATCTGAAGAGGCTTCTCCTGTTTTATATATTATGTGAAGAATTTAAATCTTATATTGGTTTGCACAAATTCCCTGGAGAAAAAAAATTGCTCTGTGTATATCTCTTGGAAAATAAGACAATAGTATTTCTCCTTTGCAATAGCAGTTATAACAGATGTGAAAATAAATATACTTGACTCTAATATGATTATACAAAAGAGCATGGATACATTTCAAATGTTAGATATTGCTACTATAATCAAATGATTTCATATTGACCTTTTTATCATGATTCCTCCCTGTCAAGCACTAAAAGTTGAACCATTATACTTTATATCTGTAATGATATAGATTATGAAATTTCTCCTCAAACTCATTGCAGCAGATAACTTTTTGAGTCATTGACTTCATTTTATATTTAAAAAATTATGAAATATCATTCTGTCATTATATTCTAATTAAAATTGTGCATAATGCTTTGGAAAAATGGGTCTTTTATAGGAAAAAAAACTGGGATAACTGATTTCTATGGCTTTCAAAGCTAAAATATATAATATACTTAACCAACTCTAATATTGCTTCTTGTGTTTTACTGTCAGATTAAATTACAGCTTTTATGGATGATTAAATTTTAGTACATTTTCATTTGGTTTTGTGTGTTTTTGTTGTTTATAGATTTAAGACTTTTATTTTATCATGGCCACATTTTTTTTAAGTGCAACTGTAGCTCCTTTCTGCCTGGTACTTACAGAACACTTGGCTTTAAACCCCTAAGTGTTTAAATCACCTAATTGGTGATTTCTTTGAGAACAGACCTCATGCTTTCTGTTCTAGATGTATTTATTCCTACTATACAGCAAACTACATCAGACTACATAGAATAGTTTTGTATATTCTCTCTTGATCTTATAGATTGTATCTTATTGAATAAAATATCCCACTGTATTATTTTTATATGTAAAAATAAGTTTAATACTGTATTAGGGGTTAACTTTACTATTTCAAATCTTCCACAGCTTGTAATTTCACCAAGGGAATCCTTTGGTCATTGTTAATTTGTTGGGTGTAAGCCCACCAACAAAATGTTATGTAAAAAATTTTCAAACTTACTTTATAATAGATTGAAGAATTTGAGAGAAGTGAGAAAAAGTGAAAAAGCGTATAAAGAATGTGTTGGTTACTTTTGCTTCGACTATGTATGAAGTAGTATGGTAGACATAGTATGGAAAAGATTGCTAAGTTAAAATTGTAGCTGGCTATTCAGTGGTGCTTTCTTTTCCTTCCCAGTTGTTTTTCTTTACAAAGATGGCGCTTAATGAGGACATGGATCTGGGGTATCGATGTGACTTACATGTTCTCCATAGAGGTAGAGCAGAACAGCTTGTCGGCCAGTTGAGTGCTGGCGACGGAAAGAAACAAGCTGAGAAAACCCTGTGCCTTGTCCCTGAATACTGAAAAGGAGACTAGTCCTAGAAAGTCTACATCACTGCTCAGGGATCTAGATATTGTCTCATTGCAACTAGGTGTGAAGTAGTGTTCATGCCTTGCTGAGACTTTCCAGGAATGTGGTCAGGCCATCGGTTACTAAATTGAGATTTAGGAATAAGATTTCAAATGTAAGCTCTGACCAACCTGAGAAAATGTTAAAATATTGTTTAAAAAAATGGAAATTGTATTCTTTTGAGTTTCTAATAAATTTAGTTAACTAATACTTTCCTTCTACTGATCCAGTTACACATATGTCTGGGATTGAGGGGCCAAAAATCTAATAAATGCAACAATTTTTTTAAATTAAAATAAGTAAGTGAAGCATTAAGGCCAGTCCAGGTCAAGGTGGCATATTTTAAGGTCCTCTACAGCCATTCTGCTTGAAAACTCACCTCTCAGACATTCCTTTGGACTTAAAGTCATAGACAAACATCACACATTAGTAAAAGTTGCTAAATATTACCTGTTACATCTGTGACATAGGCTGTGTGGTTACTTGCCAGATAGGTTAGAAATCATTAAATAACAGTAACTCCCAAGTTACAATATGATGGATTAACAGCATCAATTTGTCCTCAGTTTGAGAGCATGATGGGGAGAATGACAGTGCTGGATTCCTTTGTCATGTCTCACACAGTCCACTTGGGATACAGCAGAAATGTGAAGAGACACGCCCTGTGGGGCACAGCAGTATGCAGGGCAGGACCCACTGAAGTCAGGGAGATGTGTTACTATCCCAAGGAAATCTGCCACTGCTGAGGGAGGTGGAAAGGTGGCCTGTCAGAAAGGGAGGTGGGCCTGCTTCCATTGATCCCTGTGTGGATTCTGTAGTCTTGGCTCCAGAGGGGAGCCTGCCCAAAAATAACATGTATTTGATGTATTTTTTTATGGCTGAAAAGTCCAAAAGCTCTCAAGGATATGATATATGAACCTCATACTATATGATAAATATCTAAGAACTGACACCATGTTCATATCTGTGACTCTTTAAGTATGAGTGACCTAGAATTTAGAGGAGGCTTGATGTCACAGTTGATAATTCTTTTCCCCACTAAAACACAGATGACTTTAGAGGCTTACTAGTCGTGCCCCAAACAATCTAGTTTTAGAGACTAACAGTAAATACGCAAGTTATGATTTTAGCCTCCATCAGGGGGAGCTTTGGTACCAAATACTTCTACTGGTATTTAAGGAATAGGATGGAGCCAGTCCATCTGTTCTTATCAATAAACACTGCTTGCTTCACAAAGAGGCATAAAGGCCTTTCCTCAAAAGTTTGCAATCTACCGGGCAGGAAAGATAGGTAAGAAGTTCATCAGAGGTATGAAAATACTGTAATTTGTTAAACTGTAGGCACAGAGTTCTCTTAGGAATGTTTGGAGAAATACGGGTGTTGTTGGTCTGTTACTCTCTTTTTCCCCTACGGCTTTAAATCTTCTCTTCCTGGCCTCTTGATCTGCCATCATAACTGACCACCTTTTACCCCTCAGTGAGACAGTCCGTTTCTTTGAAGTTAGAATGTACTTGGGAAAAGTTAGCCCTTGGGAAGGTCCTAGTCTTTATTTTATTACCAGCATTATTAAGACAGGTTATGTGGGCTGGAGCCAGTTCTCTCCACATAGGAACATTCTTCATTATCTGGACCTGCCCAATTTCAAATATTTTGTCTCATTTTCCTCATTAGGTACACATATATTTGTCAGTTCATGTATCTGATTTGTTTTTAGGATTGAGGGACAGAAAGAAGGATTACCTCAGTATTTTCCTTGGTAAGCAGTCACAGTAGAATGCTAAAAGACATAAAATACGCTCTTATAAGTTATATGTATGTGGTGAAACCAAAGTGTGAAGAGATTGCCTGGTATTTGAAGGAGGAAAATAGCTCATAAAATAACCTTTTGTTTTATTTGGGTCTTTTATTTATTTAAGGTGCTACTTAAATGTGTATTAAAATAGCCCTCCTTGACTCAGCCCCCAACTTAAAAGGGCAGAGTGGTTTGGGTACTTGTCTAGGATCTGGAAAAATCCCATCTTGTACAGGGAAGGAAATGAATGTGAGCTTTGAGGTAGTCTAACCACCAAGCTTTTAGTATTTCTATCCCACCAAAATGGAAAAAAATGCAAGGTATTCTTGGAAACATAGTACAGATATTACATTGAATATGCTTTTTTTTCTTTACTGCAGTTTCCTCTTGGGCTTGCTGAATGCTCAGTCCATTTATTTAATGCCATGTCTTGCTAAAATATTCTTGTTGAGAACAGCTGGAGACTTTGAACTGGATGCCTAGTTCTGTTTTCAGAGAAGGCAACATGGATTCTGCTTTGCAGACCTTAAGAAGGGCTTTGAAAGGAAATTGGGATATATTTCTCTGGTTTTTCAAGAAGAAGCCTCCTGTGGTTCTGGGCTTAAGGTATGACATACATTTCCTGCTAATTGCTTCTCTTAAGCATGGGCAGGGCTGTTCCTCTTGAGGAAAAACCTTAATAAACCTTCTTGGGGTTTTTTTTTTTTAAAGATTTTATTTATTCATGAGAGAGACAGAGGCAGAGACACAGGCAGAGGGAGAAGCAGGGAGCCCGATGCAGGACTCGATCCCAGGTCTCCAGGATCACACCCTGGGCTGAAGGCGGGGCCAAACCGCTGAGCTGAGGCTGCCCAAACCTTGTTTTAAGCAGTGATGTGACTCTTATTTTGAACAATTGTTTTATATTTTTATATATATATATAAATATATTTTATATATTTTATGTATATATATATATTTTTTTGTGGTAAAGCTTAACCATGCACAAGTTCTTGTGCTTACTTTTAACCACGTAAAAATTCTTGTAGGGCATAGAAAGCAGATGATCCTTAGAGGCCCTTCAGTAAATAGATGTGTCTGCTCTATACCCTGTGCTTATCTGCACGTTGGGGATAGAGCAGTGAATAATACAAAATAAAATATTTTCTCTTGTGGAATCTTTGGCAGAGACAGGAAATGTTGCGCACGGGCATGTGCATATGTGTGCACAATGAAGAGTGCTGTGGAGAAGAGTTAGGAGTGCTGGGTGGAGAGAATGTTGCCTAAGTTGCTGTTTGCGTAAATATCTGAAATGTGCAGCCCACACAACTACCTTCTGTGGCTTGGAAAGGGTCTGCAAATGCCATGAAGTAGACGTGTGCCCACATGTTGAAGTGCTAGCATTGGCTGCCTGGGGTCCACAGAAGGGATTTCAACAAAGGGTAGAGAGAACATGATCTGACTCAACCTCTCATCAGGATACTAGGGCTGCTGAGTTGAGAATAGCCTGTGGAGGGGCAAGGGAGGAAACAGAAACTGGTTAGGAGAAAGCAGAGCCAGCAGAACCTCCCAACTCGAGTGTGAGAGAGAGCAGTCAAGGATGACTCCCAAGATTTTTTGCCAGTAATCAAGATAGCAAAGATTATGGCAGGAGCAAGTCCAGGGGTTCCGTCTTGGACATACCAAGGGTTAGGAATGGGTTGGGTTCTAGACTTGCGCCGAAGGTGTCTGGCAGTGTCTGGAATTGAGATGAAGAGATCCCGAAGGGAGATTCACAGTGAACATTGAAGAACGTGGGGCTGAGTAGGACCCCTAGTGTTGGTTGTAGATAGAGAAGTCCAGGGACTCGGTCACCAGGTTGGGAGGTAGAGAGGAATTGGCAAAGGAGAATGTGAAGCTCACTCTGGTGACCTCGATGGACGTCAGTGGAAGGGTAGGGGGCACTGGAGACATGAGGTGTGGGCATGTGTGGGTGCTCTAATGGGAGTGGGCCACCCAGGAGGCCTGCGAGATGGAATCCTAGCATTCAGCACAGGGGCTGAGCTGGAGAGCAGCGGCTGAGGAAAGGCAGTGGTGGGGTTGTAGAAACTGGGAGGGCACAAAAACCTAATAAGAAGCTCCGTAAAGAGGTGTGGTACAGAGTAGTAGGGGCGGAGGGACCGATACTTTCTGCTCTGGGAGAGCCCAAGTGCTTCAGGGACGGGAGCTCCAACTAAGCCTTAGGGGATAGAATTTCAGTAGGGGAGAGTGGGGAAGAGTGTCACGGGTGGACGGGAGCAAGAAGTTGGCATTAGTGTGGGAGTGATGGGCCAGGGAGTGGCGTGGGGCCGCCCTGCGGCAGGCCTGGAAACAGTGTGTGGTCAGGTGAGCTAG